CAACAGGGTTCAGGCTTTAATCCAGTGGATGCAATCCAGACAGCTGACTGCTGTCCTCATCCTCCAAGCCCTGCCAGGCAAGTGGAAAGCACAGCTCCAGACTCATACATGGACTGAGAAATTAACTCAGTAATATAGGCTTTGGAAGATAGCAGCAGCATGGGCAGACTGCTCTCAGGTACAAGGGTGATGGGAACCACTATGGTTATTACTCCCTCTCTCCAGGCAAGCAACACAGGCCTGTATCCTAATTCATGGTATGACATTTGCAATTGCTTAGCAGGGTTATGGAGCATCAGGCATCCTCCCTCAGCTCTACCATGACAGGCAGAGCAGGGGGAAAATAGGCTGTACTTCATTTACTGCAATCTAAAGCAGTCCCTGAGAAAAAAAAGCAGTATGTAGGACACCCAGACCAGCACACAAAACAGCAAAGTACCAGGCTTGGAGCAGGGCTTCTAGGTAGCCTGTCATGTAAGTAGAAGTATATATAAATAATGGCTTCAGAAATAGCACATGCTTGTACTAGGTGATACCAATACTAGCCCTGTGTTACTAATGACACTTCTGGGGCTCAGCAGCAGGAGCACCCGTGAAAAACAAGACTTCCATTTTCTCTGGCTGCATCCTGGAATAACATCTCATTTCCCTAGCTGTGACATTAACACCTATACCATCTCAGCACCTCATTCAGGCCTGCAAAAGGTGTACTCCAGATCCCTCCAAAGGGTAGTCAGAAGCGCAAGACTGGCCTTCGCATTCACCATGCCATTCTTCAGAACAAGCACAAAAAAACCCAGACAACAATTTCAGGATTTTTATTTCTGAATATTTGTTTTATTTTACTTTATTAGAAATTACAAAGAAACTCTCTCCAGGAGAGCAAGAAAAAAAACAAACAAAACACAACCCTGAAATATTTCCAAGCAATTTTGCTCCACACAAACAGAAGCAGAGTTACATATTTCATTCACATGCATGTACAAAAACATTTTAAGTAAAACATCCTTCACACATAACATGTCCATTAGTCTCAGAATCAAGCACGTAATCAGATTGGCCTCACCTACCGTACCTAATCTTATTTTCCTGTTTTCTTTTTAAATTGTAAATTTCTACGCAAGAAACAGCTCTTTTTTTTCTGTACAGCATTATGCACATTTAAATTAGCATGGATGGTCTTAGAATTAAATCACTGGCTAGCACAGTCTGCAGCACAGCTGTACGCTAAAGTTGTTACGCTGCCGTTTATACAGTGGACTTTGTTGGGTACCAGGCAGAACTCTTCAAAAGGAATAAAAAGGTATTGCTAGAGGGAAAAAGGAATATGACACACAGCACTCTCTCAACTACGATCCTGTATGATTCCCATGCAAAACACTTCAAAAGCCAAGTAATTCACAGATCTTGCTCTCCAAATTGATATCAAAGTTCTCACCAATTTCAATCATGGCAAAATAATTCACTAAAGACATCAATGCTACTGGATCCAGACTCGGCCAATATGCAGTATTCCACTTTGCCATCCTCCCACCTTTGGAAAGAGAAGGGAAAAAGATGAAAGAACCAACAAAACTGCAGACTACTGAGGCAGGTGGGTCAGCAGAGCACTTTACCAGCGACCAGCAGAAAACCACACCTGCCAGAGCACAGCTACATTCCAACCCATGGCATAATCTCACTGTGTCTTAAAATTCGGGCATTACGTGGTCAATGAACTCCTCACTAGTTGCCCAAGGCTGCATAAGCACCTAGCAAAATCTAAATTGATTTATCAAAAGAGCATATTGTCTCTATCTGAGTTTGTGAGCTAGGTTTGAAATTTCACTGTTTCACACATGATGAACACCACTGTAAATCCAAAGACTGTAAATGTTCAAAGGGGATGGGCTCACCAAAAAGGCAAAGCTTCCACAGGTATAAAAAGAAACATCAAGCACACAAATGTCAGACACAACACAGCATAACGGGGGAACAGGAGGTACAGATTTTACTCTGCCATCATTTTTAAATGTGCAAGTGATGCTGATGCATTTCGCATCTCTGCATAAACATGCATCCAAACACTTCTCTCTTACACTGCAACAACACAGCTGAATCAAAGGAGGGTGTTTAAATATACTTGAAACACTCTTGGCTTGTTGCAGAATGTGTGCTACAGACTGAAATGGGTGTGAGAAGGTGATGTAAAATAAAATAACACAATTAAAAGTAAGACAGAACATCTGCATGTGAGCAGTGTAAAGGAAGCACTTAAGATCGACACTCAGGAGGTGTAACCAAAGCCCCTGGAGAACACTAGGTTTATATTTTTAGACCACTTGAAATCTTGCAAATGAGCAGTGATGCTGGCAGCAGTCATTCTGTCTTCTAGCTACTGAGAATAGTGCAAAGGACTTTGCATAGGTGCCCCAACCGCAAGAATGCTTTACTAAAACAGTTTGGGCCTTTCTCTGTAGATGCTTTGCCAATGACAGCTGTTTTCCCACAGTATCAAAGACACAAGGGCCAAATCAGGCTGAGCCTCAAGGCCCCAGCCTAGCACATTCTGTGTGTTGTGGAGAAGGCTGGTCTGCTGGTTTAGACAGATGGGCAGTCTGCTTTTAGCCCTGTACTGCCATTTGAACAGCAAGCTCTACTAAACGTGTAGAAAAGAAAAAGCACCAACACAGCAAGAGGAAGCCTCCTCTGATTCCCATACAGGAAAGGCTGAAGCCAGGTCACTTAGCTCAGATATTGATGGTGTGAGTGTCTTCAGCTGAGGTAGTCAAGTCAAAGTCACTTTATGGGCACACAAAGGGAAAACATACATTTCTAAAAATGCCATTCATCTGACCTGCTTTATACTTCTACTTCAAGGCAGATGAACTGCAACCTAAGAATGACTATTTCTCTTCAGCTGCAAATGGGGCCAAGAGGGACAAATTTAGATACAGACATATAAAACTGAGCAAGAAGATATCACCCCAAATGTATTCCTTGTACCTGGACAGTTGAACAGAACAGTTGTGCTGCACTTCTTGGCAAGCAGTTTTGCTAAAAACCAGTATCATACAGGTCAATAACATTTCAGTGTCCATCTAGTCATTCCCCAGCCAGCCAGTCCTACCAAAATGTAAGCAAAGCCCACAACTCTCACAAAACCCTAAAAGATCACAGTGCCTTTTCTGAATAGTAACTAAATCTCAAACACACTTCTAAGAGACAAATACTACTGGCTGAGAAAACAGGGACATTGAAGCTTGTCTAATGGTGACTGAAAGGGAATCAAAATGAAGATTTCCTGATACGCTGTTATGGTCTTCTACTACTGACTAGGCTTCAGATAGCTGGAATTCACCTCCCAGAAGAAACCTTTAAAACTGTGATGGGCAATTTTAACTCCAATGTCCATAAAAGCCTGTGGTCACACATTCTTAAAAGACATTGAGGAATTTCATGTTTGGCTTCCACCTCTATAAAATGGAAGAGAAATACAGTTAGCAAAAAGATTAAGGCTAGGCATGCTATACACAAACAAAAATACTATGCCTGGAGCTCGTTCTTTCAAAAGATAAACTTGCAATTGTAAGGACAAATAGGAGGTTTGGTAAATCTCCCTCAAACCTCCCAAGGGGTTACAGCTATAAAGCCAGTTTAAGTGGCTGTTCATTCTTGGTTCATGTTCATTCTAGGTTTTTTGAGAGAGATACACACTGAATCAAGTTAAAGACCAAGCTGATCAACTGAGGATTGTGCAGAACAAAAAAAAAAAAAGCCATCAGTCAGCTGAGCCGTAAAAGAAAGGAGCAAAATAGATTCTGTTTCAGACTAAGCTGTCAAGATACTTTGAATACGAAATCTCAGCCAGCCTGAAGTTGCTGTGCTCAATCCAATGCAGCAAAGGAAAAGTTTGCATTGCCAATATTGCCTCACATCACATCGTAAAAGCTGCTTCATTCTCTCCAGAAAGCCACATCAACTTCCCTGACCAGATGATCAATAAATCAATGAAGGAAGAAGCTCTGATGGACTTTTTTCTAACAAGGAAGAATTAGTGTAGAATGTGAAGGTCTTGGCTGCAGCAGAGATGGAATTCTGGCATTTCAAATCTCCAGTAATGAGTACAAGGCAAAGTCCTGGATCTTTAGGACAACATATTTTGGTTTATTCTAGGAATGTCCTGGCAGGATCTCAGGAGAGACTGCCCTGGCCTCCCAAAGGGGCCCAAGCATGCTGCCTTATCTTGAAAGACAGCTTCCTCAAAGTAGAACAGTCCTTTCTGATGAGCAGAAATTAAAGCAGGCATGATAGAAGGCCAGCACAGGCAACCAAGGAACTCCCGACTGAGCTCAAACACAAAGGAAAAGTACACAGAAGTAGAAGTAAGGATGGGCTGTCCAGTAGGGATATAGAGACTCAGCCCAAGTGTGCAGGGACAACTAGAAAGGCCAAAGCTCAGCTGGAGTTGAAACTGGTATGAAATGTGAAGAAGGCCTTTCTTAAGTTCACTGGAAGCAAAAGAAAGGTTAAAGAAAACGGAGTTACTGTTCAACAATGCAAGCAATCTGGTGACAAAGGATGCTCTTTGTACTTTAAGGCTGATGTACCCAACACCTTTTTTGCCTGTTTTGACTTACTTAGTCTGCCTTCAGACCTGCCAGGTCCCCGGGTCTTCTAGCAGAGTATGTGGGAGTAAAGCATTACCTACAGCAGAGGAAGACAGAGTTAACAAGAACTTAAGCCAACTGGACATACCTAAGTCCACAGAACCAGACATCTGAAGGCACTGAAGGAGCTGGCTGATGGCACTGTGAGGCTGCTCTACAGCATCTTTGCTAGGCCATCATAATCATTAGCGATATTCCCCAACCAGTGAAATACCCTGCTCTATGCTTCAAGCAGGAGGCTGGGCTAGAGATGTCCAGAGGTCCCTTCAACCCAAAATATTCAATGATTCTAGGACTTAGCACATCTCACAGCCACTTTCGCCTTGGTAACTTCAAGATTAATCTGCCAAAGCAAGCCTTGCCACCATCAAATGTATAGGGTGATCTTCAATCTTATGAGTCAGGATGGAGTAGAGAAGCCAGCAAAGAGGGGAGCTGAAGAGCGCCACATGTCAGACATCTCATAATAATTTTATGCAAGATCCCTCATACACCAGGGCCAGCCCTGTTTATGAACCTTAGCCATCACAGTACTCTCTCAGTTTGTTTCAAGTCTATTACATATCAGCAGGACTAAAAAACACTGTCTCTTTCACATCTTCTTCATCTTTTTCTTGCAGCGCTGGTTGAAGACAGGCGAGGATCCCATCAGACTGTCAGCAGAATGAGAACCATAGCTGCTCTCAGAGCCATTGGGGCTCTGTGGCATCCCAGCTTCACTCATGCCTGACATCGGTTCCTCAAAGACATCACTGCCTAGGACCCCATGGCCATGCACATTAGCCTCCTCATTTTCCTGTGGCTCCATTTTCACCTGTGCCAGGTTCCAGAGTGGTGAAGCATTCACCTCAGCCCCTGCAGAAAGAAAAAGCACACAGTAGTAACTGGGCAAAAAGACAGATCACAAACAGCAGATGCAAGACAGAAGCACAGGTAAAGGAGCAAAAACAAAGTTACAGGTGAACTAGGCTGGGAGGAAAACAAACAAAACACATCAAGCAATAAGTGAAACAAATTAAAAAATATGTTCGGTTTGGATTTTTTATAAGCCAGTAATTGTTGCTCTAGAAAATATGATGCTATCCTTTCATAGCAATTCTTCACATGGCTTTCTGCATGAGAAGAAACAACAAGTTAAAGAGCCCACATCACTTTCCAGGGCTGTCTCAGCACTAATGAGTACACCAACAGCACATGGACTAGACCCTGCATAAGCAGGACTTTGAGGCAGTCCAGAAGTCATTCATGATGATGAGGTCCTTGCAATGTCAGCAACCTCTTTTAACCTGTCAGACATACTGGACTTCTGCAGGGGAAGTGAAGTGAGGGCACAGGAGTAGGTAGATGAGCTTCCTGCACTGAAACACAGGGACAAAAGAGCTGCAGTCAGCCACCTGACTGCCTGCCTCCTTGTACTCAACACCCACAGGTCTTATCCCATCCTTCAGCAGAAGGGAAAGAAATCTTCTTGGCTAAACCTTGCAGACACCCTGCTGAGAAGTAGCTCCCCTGGGCTATTTTGGACCAGTGTGCAATCTGAGCAGACTGAGGATTTTCTGTACAAGACTATGAAACCATATTTCTTCATAACAGCAAATGTTTTTCTCCCCAAGAGCAGTAATTATAGATTGCATTATTTCTGCTTATTTACAGTTTTAAGAGAGACAAAAATCCTATTAAAAATACACTAATTGGGCTCCTTGCTGAGATGGACATAAACAGCCCAGAACTGAACAAAGCTGGATATCTTTCCACTTCTAAATCTGGTCCCTCTTGTGTGGGGTTAAATTCACAAGGAAAATAAGCAAACCTTGGAAACCAGTTTTAATCAGTTTTCCAAACCTTGTGTCTCAAGGATCTTCACTGCAGTTTGAAAGCACAACCAAACCTCTTGCACTGAGCCTAACCTACTACTGTTCCCTGTTATCAATATACTACTCCTCATTAGTAGTAATTACACAGAGAACAAATCTACCACCACATGTTTGTATTGAGAATTCTCCCTTATGAAGGAGTCAGGATCTTTTCCATAGCAGCTCAGCCCAAACCAGGGTTAAGGAGACCTTTGAGGTAACACAGCCTACATTAGCTCAGCAGTTAGATAACAAGCCAGAATGAAAGTACTCGCTGGTGTCCAGTTGCCTTAACGAAAAGTCCTTTTTATGTTAATTATAAGTAAATGTATTCCTCTCAACAGCAATGGACACATCATTAAAACACTATCAGTTCCACAGAGTAGCAGCTCCAGTCTACACAATCAAAGATGCTCACTAAACCTGTGTCTTTCTTCCATCAATTGTACTTCATTGCTCAGCCTTATTCCATTCAGCTCTATCACCTGTCATTGAGAGTATCACTAATGACTAAAAGTACTTAAGCATTGACACAGGATGTTTCATCTTCAAAGCACTCTAACTTCAAAGTACTTTACAAATGAGCTAATCCTCACGTTATCCTGCTGGGTGGAGGAACAAGGTCCCCAGGTTTGCCTCCATTTCCCTGACTGCAATGAAATTAGTACAGCTAGCCCATAGCCGCAACATCAGCTATAAGCAGAAACACAAGCAGAACACGAAGGTTGTAACAAGAATTTTGCCCTTAGACACTGAAGCCTTGCTGCCCTCTCTGTGGGCCTCACACTTGTATTTTCGAGATGGTGGTGTCCTAATTGCAGCAGCTTTTTTTCTACTCCTTATGATATTAGACTCTCCAGCCTACCCAGCTCTAGACTGGGATTCTCACAGAAATGAGATTTGCAAAGGCCCTTGTGAAGTGAAGGGGGATTTTCAGGGAGGAACAGAGCACTTGTATTCTTAATTAGAAAACATCAATTCAGTATCAAAGAGGCAAGAGGCATTTAATATACAGCTAGCATGCTAACCTCTGGGTCTCAAGAGGTAGATGCTAATACAAAGCTTTCCAGATGAATCACTCAACCCCAGATGGGCCAGAGTCGTCTGCGGTTCCCTCTCCCACAAAAATGAGACCATTTCACATTTCAGAGGTACTATGGAAAACAATATGAGCTTCCAGAAAAACATCAGGTTTTTAAAACTCAGCAGAATGTGCTATTTGGAAAAAAACCCAAGAACTAATGGACTCAGGGGTATACTCTAACCACACTATATATGCTACTTCGTTTAGAGTTAACAGGACAGGCTTCATTGTTTTTTAACCAGATTTTTAAGTGAAACAGCAATTATCACAGGAGTTCCCAGAGTTCAGAAGGTTCTACACAAAATTCAAAACTGGCTGTCCTTGGGAGAAGAATGTCTTCTTCATTTTCCAGAAGATTTAGCACTATTAAATGGTGCACAGAGTAAAACTTGTATATGGACATAGAAAAGGCATAGAATGGCAGATTCTCCCATGCTGGCAGTGTGCTTCAATGCCAATATCAAGGGATGACACTTTAAGAAAAAGAGTGCAGTCTCCATAAACTCACTACTTCACTCACCATTTCACTTTCCACAGCCTCAGCTAACTACAGCAGCCTTTAGGGTAGAGATGCTAGAATAGGAGAGGCTCCCAAGAGCCCATTTCTTCTAAGTCCCTTCTAAGCTTTCGTAAAACAATGGAGGACTGCACCAAGCATCACTAGTATTTCCATAATTCATACCGCGCCTAAACTATATAGAGTCTTCAATTTACTTCAGTCACAAGGAACACGGCCTTCAGCTCTTCAGTAACACGAATCTGGACAAGAATCCAAAATTACCGGGGGGTAGGGTGGGGGGACGGGAAGGAAAAAATAATCCAATAATCTCTTTACTCGACATAAGGATAAACTCTAGTCTCTTTTAAACTAAAATATGTAAAACCAGAAGTTATTATTGCCTTTGTTTCATTAGACTGGAAAAAAACAACCCAGTACTGATATCTGCAGCAAATACCCTAGTTCAAAAAACAATAAAGCCCTTGGGCTATAACTGTAGAAAAACAATCTACCTCACATGAATAACAAAGCCAACAACTTTAATCATCCCCTAAAAAGCAACACCATGAAAAGCATTCTGTGTTCTACAGGGTCCATGAACAGAGTAAATATTTAATAAATCCCAGCAACTGATACCTTTGATTCTTTGGGTTTGTATTTAGGAAACAAATAAGGGTTTCCCTCCCATTCAAATGTTTTAGTAAAAATTCACTCTTTCGTCTTCCTCTCCCTTCTCTGCTACTAAAAATGGAAACAAGATCACACAGAACTGCTGATGGACTGTTTCCAGGAGTAGCAAGAAACCCCTACCTGAAGTCTGTGGGGAAGCTTCTACTTCTAAGTTGGCAGAGAAGCGCTCGCTTTGAGCTCCAAGGACTCCAACGGGTAAAGACTGGTCACCAGAAGCCAGATCTCCTTCCAGCTCCTCGCTTATGGGGAAAGTAATATCACTAACAGGTTCCTCCTTAATTTTCACAGGCTTTGTGTCTTCTGCTGCCTTTTCAGGGTTGACAATCTTCTCATATTCTTCAGAGAGCTGCTTGCTAACCTGTCAAAAATCAGTGGGGGTGAAAAAGAAGCCAGAAAGGTCAGAGTGACTTCAGAGACTCTGATGGCAATAACATTGCAGTGCACTCTGTTCTTAGAATATTATTAACATCTGACCTGAACGAACAAGTAAACAGGTTACCAGCTACACAGGAAAGATTTTTTTTTTCCCCTCTTTAGAACACTTTCTGTTCTGTAACAAGAGAGGTTTAATCCATTAACACATCTGCAAAAAAATATGAGCACCTTTATCTCACAGACACAGATGATGAGGCCCAGAAATTTAAACAGAGCATAAAACAAAAGCAAAGTGTCTCAGTCTTACTCTTTGGTTTTACCTATAATGCAGTCCCCATCCCCCAGCAATAAATTTACCCCAGCATTAAAAAATAAGCAGCTCAGTTATTCATCTGAGGCAAAGCCCAGGTACTTTTTGCCAGATTCACAGCAAAAAACTCAAAAGTCTTCTCCAGCAAAAGAAATGAAACAAATACAGGAATAAGATTTAGCACTAGCCTGTACTTCTAGAAACTTAACAACTGTAAGCAATTAATTAAAAATTTCAGATTTCATCCTCATCTAACAAATACTTGTTTATACCACTGAATCCCAACAGTCAGCAAACTGCGCTCAGGAAAATTCCAAGCGTCTTTAACAGCAGAAGCAAGAAGGAAAAAGAACAGCAAAGCCTATTTCCCCACCTAGATATATTTCCAAATACAGAGACTACTGTGGACAGACCTCAGAGTCCATCACAAAATACACAGTTACAGGTGTGTCTGATTTATAGTGCCTCTGTAAGCCACAAGGTGCCAACCCTGGAAAAAGAAGGAGCACAAGGTGGCTGCTCCAAGATGAGTCAACTGGCACTCATCTGCTCAGACAAGGAGGAAGAGATGGCAGGTTTTACCTTTGGTTACAGGCTACCTACTTGATTCAAGTCTTGGTTTTTGATAAATAGGAGTAAAATTCCTACTTCAAATCCTTGCATTTCTCTAAGTCCATGACAGGCAGTCTTATATCATTCAAAAGAAATGTGTATGTTTTAATTTCATAGAATACATGGACTAAGAGAAACCATACCCTTAGTCTTACAACTTATGTTTACGTGATACCTCTTATTCCAAGGAATATAACAACTCCTCTTCTTCCTCCACAGAAGCACAGTCCTCTCTAGAGTTGAAGGTAGCACCTCTGTGACAAGTCAGATCAGCACAATACTACCCTATACTCCTAAAGCTTAAGCAAGTCACCCCTTGCTGAAGCAAATGCAAGCCACTGTATGTCCTACTAATTTTTGTTTGTCTGCTTGTTTTCTGAGATGGAAAGCAGCCAAATATCCTATTAAAGCAGAAAATTCAGTTAATCAGTCAGTACTGATTTTACTTCTACTTGATACCTTTCTTTGGGCATCTAAGAGCTGTGGGCCTCCTCTTAAACCCAGACAAACAGCCAGTAGAGCATTCTTAGCCTCAGCAGGGACAGAAATAAGGGGCTCTGTCTTCCTGTCAAAAAAAAATCCTTTTTCTCTTTTCCTTGATGACTCCCCTCTACATCCAAGAGGTTTCCTAATTGGATTTTACCTCAATAAGACCCTGGACTTGCTATAGGAATAAGCAATTGTACTGAGGGTATATTTCTTGGTGCGGTCAGGTGCCTACTGCTCTTCTCACCTGAAGCATGTAGCTGTGATAATCTTTAATGCGGTGTTGCCAGAACTTCTGCAGTGAGAGCACACTGCCAATGCCCACTTCATGGAAGACCTGCTCCATGACATCAGGGAAAGGGGTGTGCCCAAGGCGGGCTTCCCGATCCACTGCAAAGCGCAGCAGTTTGGTGAACTTCAAGCAGTACTCGTGGGCGATGTCTGTCAGGGTCTCCAGGACACTCTCATTGGCACACTCAAAGCCTGTGTGAGCCAGGATGGTGGCCATGGACTGGTAGAGAAGCTGCCGGCAGGAGGACCAACTCAGCTCAGTCACTGGCTCCCCTTTTCCTCTGAAAAACAGAACAGACAAAGAAAGCATACCTCCAGAAACTGAAAGCAATGTGCCAGTTGAAGAGATACTGTCAATAATAAAGTGATGCACAAAGGGCAAGCAGATTGTCTGGGGTTGGCCACAGCTTCTCCATTACATATGACTACTACCTAGTAAGGGGTTATCTGCTTTCCATTCTTTCCCTCCCTCCAAATCAGCACTGCCAGTTCTCATTTTCCCTTCTAATGCCGCAAGATTCCTTGGATGATTCATGAATGTGGGATGCAAGCCTTCTGAACCCTTAAGCAACTCCCTGCCCACCCAAGAGCTTTTCTCCTGGAGATGAGAATTAAACGGGTCCTTGACACAAACAAAAAAAAGGCATTTTAAATAATATGAATGCAAATCATATCCCCTCTCAGTTAATTACATTGCTCTTCCTTATTATCTCTGATGTCACAGGCCTAACAGATACAAAGGCATCTGGGATAAACAAGATCTGAATTTATAATGTAAAAGACACATAATAAGCAAGAAATAGGATACACCTGCTCTTCATAAAGGTACACTGCAGCCAAAAAGACCATGTCCTTGACCTCATTTCCAGCAGACACTGAGCACCACACTGAAAGAAGTACCCCTGCATGCAACCTAAGAAGTGAACACTAGGCTGCGGAAGGAGGCCTAGAGAAGTTCTGGCACAGAGCAGCACTCCCTGGCCTTGGGTTTGAGATCTCTTTTCTTGGTGTTGCAGGAAGGAGTGACTGTACAGGAGGGAAGAAACAGAGAATACCTGACACAGAGAATACCTGACACAAGCACTTCAAACTTCATTCATTTACAGTCAAGCAACTGAATTTTTCATCAAGATGAGCTAACAAACAGAAATTCCACACAGGAAGAAGAGAAGGATGAGGTAAGGCAAGGCCACTGAAAGGTAAACATATTTCTACCAGTTTCTCAACTCTCAATTAAACGTATGCAATGTATTCGCCTGTAACAGTAACACAGTCTTCAAATGCTGATGCCAAAAAAATCAGATTTCCTTTCTGCTAAGTATGGTATTTATACACATTTTCACACTTCATTCAGCACCAATGGCAGAATTAAGCTAACAATTTCACCCTTCATTTGTTTCTGATCAATTTCTCCCAACATCTTCCGAGCTCACCCTGAGATTCGCCTCACTCTCACCCTCCATTACTTGCATATCACCACACACTCTTCCCAGTAACAAGATGTGATTAAACAGTACACAGACAGCACCGATGCCTTGATAAAATTCTCACTATTCTGTCTCAACCAGTGCATTAGGTACCCTTCAGTCCCACTGAGATGCTGCGTCACAGTCTCAGCTCCCCCGATCCTAAGAACTGACCCACTGAAAAACACTGAAAAACACAGCAGTAAAAAAAGATAGCATTTCAAGGGACTGATATTGGAAGGTTAAACTTAAGAGATATCAGGGCCAAAATCATTCATTTTCAAGAACACCAGCTCAGCATTTTGTGATTATTCAAATAAAGGGGAGATCACACTATATTAAGAGTAGCAGATGATGGCATTTCTAAGTGGATATTAAGAACAGCATGTGGATCTCAAGTCACGGATTAATCCCAGTTATTAATTGCTAGAAAACAACTTGCATCCCAATTCCTCCTTGATTATGCAACTGCTTTGAAAAGACAACAGCAGGAGCTCTGACAAGAAGAATTAAAAGATTATCAGTTCCCTTATAGACCAAGTGTCACCCGTCCTGATTTTACATCTCCCTCACTCCCTGCTCCACCTCCCCATGACAGATATCTGAGGTTCACAAACAACCATATGCCTCATACAACACTGGGACCAGGAGGTTACAACAGAAAAAAACAACCACTGAAAAAAAACCAACAAAACCCAACCAGAAAAAGACCATCAAAATTTATGCCTATAAAAAAAAGAATCTCTTCATTTTTAGCACATATAAAGGACATACGTAGCTGTCCAGCAGCCACCAGTTGATGGCAACATTTTATGCTACCAAAAACACTGAACACCCCTCTACTATTAATACAAAGACAAATAAGGAGCCATTATTGACACTCTGCCATTCACTTAAAACACTAGACAAACTTAACTAGACACAGATTTTGGGAAGCCCAAGCAGGATACTCAGCTGCTTGCGAAGTAGAACTCGACAACCATTTAGCAATGCATATCACTGCTCAGAAGCAGCAGAGAATGTTTTATCTCTTCTAAACTCCTAGAGGAAAAGAAACTAATTGCCAGCATTAAAATGCAGCTAGGTCACTATGCTGAAAAGGATATAATCAACTTGAAATCTAATCAACTAAAGACAGAGAGAAAAGAAATTTCAGGTACTGTACTCAAATTCAAATCCCCACCTCTTGTTCTTGGTAAGGTCAATCAATTTTCTTTTGCTTTTCTTGTATTTTCTTCTCTTATTTTCCTGTTTCCCACAATAAACAACAAAGAAGGACAATTAAAAGCCTGACTAAACAGCAAAAATGGAAATATTGTTGTAGATGTTAAAGGAAATAAAAAAAATGAGAAAATACTTTTGTCTTAATCTCCTTTAACTTTCAGGTACTGTCTGATTAGAACACACTTAAACAAAACCAGCCATATAGACACGTTTAAGTTAAGAGCAGCTATTTAATGCCAATACTTCACAAAAAGGACCAGAAAACTTCTTTTCCCTGATGATCATAGCTAAAGAGCCTTGGTCTTAGATCTCGTCCAGATACTCAGCACCTACAAAAGCACCCTTCCAGATACTATCATTATGCAGAATGCAACCTTCCGCAGCACTTACTGCTTTCCTCACAGGCTCCACATCCAGCAACCATCCAATGCCAAACCTACTTAACATATTACCAGGCTCATGCAGCTGCAAGTAAACAGGATCCCTAAAGATCCACTACCAGAGATATACAAAACTGGCAACTGGGCCTGTGACTTGGAGGTGATCACCTCTACAGAATATATAGTATGAGATTTAATACAAATACTGGCCAACTTGTCACTCTTCAATTTTGTATTCCCAGTAGAGTTCTGTATTTTTGCACATGGGTCACCAACACTAGATGGTGCCAGTTAACATGACAACAAACCATTCCCCAAAGACACCACAGACCATTCACCCAAGCTCCTCTCCTGTAAGACTGTTTTCTTAGAGGTAAGAAGACCTTGTCATTCATTTCCCATGCAACTATCTTCAGGGGAAAATGTCTGGGCTAAGTCAGCACCAGGACCAACAGCTGAGGTTCACTCAACTGCAGTAACAGATTGAAGTGCTCTGCTCCCTTCTAGGTGAGCATAAGCTAGCAGCAGATGGAGGGAGGGATTGTTTTTCCTATGAACACATCAATTTTATGAAACATTACACTGTGGGCTTGAATTTCTACCAAATGAGGTGCAACAGGGTCACTTCAGAGCCATTTTCCCAAAACAGTAGAATAAAGAACAACATTGGAAAAACAAGACTATACTAGTCAGTGCATCAAACAACACAACACATTAACAGAAACCAGAAAGTTGTCTCCTTTCGGAAAAGGGCTTGTTTCAACCTCAACCTGATCAAGCCTCTTTTAAAATATCTTTGCTGTTTACAAAAGGCTGCAAATGCATAAAAAGAAACTGCTCAATAGATTATCGCAAAGTAACAGCAAAAATAAATTGTGCCCCAGTGGCACAACCCAGAAGACCAGACAGTTTGGGAGGTAAGCCAAAGTGCTTGGGCCATAAGGTAAGTTATGTTCTGCCTGCTCTAATTACCACTGCTCCAAACCCTTCCCAATGTTAAGCCTGCTATCCCACTGACACATGCTCCCCTACCTCTGTACAGACATTTCTTAACTACAAGCCCCTCTGCCATGAACTGTTTTCCCATTGCAAGCTCCCATTTTTGTGCACAGATTATCTTTCTATGCACAGCACACATCCCATGTGGTCAGGAACACAAATGAGAGAACAGCAGAGAAATCTGTTAAGAAATCAACCATGCACACACAAGAAAAAGCATCTGAGGAGGCACATAATGAGTAGATTAGGTTTCTTTTGAAGACGGATCCATGCTAATTGGAGGAAGGTGAACAGAGAAGAAAAAGCTAGCAGCCATATTGTGGTGAAAGCATCCTGTTCAAATGGTAGTTTCAAGTCTAAAGTTCCTTACTTATTCTTCATCGGTAATACTTTAAGCTCACCGTCTGTTTCTATACCAAGCAAAACCAAATGTTAATCCTTTATTATGTATTCCAAGAACTGTAACAGCAACAGTTGCAAATCAGCAGTACCAGATGGCAATTCATCCAGGAATACTAAAGGAATTCAAGGATGAAATAGCTGAATAGCAGTGGTGAGTCACCTCTTTCATTAAACCGCCTTGGCCCATGAGGACCAGAAGACAGAAAATGTGAAAACATTTTAAGAAATTCAGAAGAGATGTGAAGAGACGTAAGATGGGAATCCTGATATATTCTGGTTCATCAGAGAAATACAAAGAAATTATAATAACAGAATTAGAGGACATATGGGTAAATATATTATTCTCAGAGAGTCCAGATAGCTTTTGTAAATGGAAAGCCTGCTTCGTAAACCTACTAGAGTCCTCCAAATCCATCAACAAGCAAGTATATCAACGACCTCCACTGTGGAGTCCAGGTCTTCTCTTGTGGATCTGTGCCAGAATCAAGGTTTGTTTCAACATATTTATAAAAATGGAGGAAAGGAAGAGCATTGTGATTAAAACTGTTGGTGGTACAGATCTGGGGGGACTGGAAAAACCAAAACAACTGAAAACAGCAGTGAATTAGGTTCTGCCTCTTCCTCACCTCAAAAGGCATGAGGAGGTAGGGGCTACAGGGATGGAGGTGCAGGACATAGGGGACACACAGAATGAATCTGGGATATAGAAAAATAAAAGACAAGGGTGTAAGGTCAAATGATGACAATGAATAACAATGGAACAGGAGAGGACATGTCTATATTAAAGACACTTGTGGTCTTATTCAGGCTTGCCACTCATCTTCCTTTCTTTCTATGTCTAAATAGGGGTATGCACTGCTTCTTCTAAACCCAGGTTACTGCCAAACAAAATGGAATTAAAATATGTATTCAGTCAAATACTGTAACACTGACAATGGCACTTCAGAAGGCAGCATAAAGATAAGCACTGCCATGTTTTATCAAGGGGAAGAATGGCGTTTAATTTGCTTTTACATACTAAGAGCAAGCATTAGCAAATCATACAACTATTTTTACTACTATAACAGCACCTGCTGTTCTTCATGCATGTAAGTGTCTTAAAACAGTTAAGAGCAAACATGCAACAACAAACTCAAAGCTTTCCTTCTGGAAAAGTGCAAATGTGTTTCATTTAGCAAGCACAAAATTAAATTCTGCTCTACACTGCAGCTCATTAGAAATCCACTGTCAGCCACAAAACATTTCATTTCAAAATTGTCTATGCAGCCTTTACAATCTGGTCTTTAAACTCCCCCACGTGGCTGACTGCTAAATAACATTCCTTTACTTGGACCCCAGAAACTCACAAGGGACAACAAAAAGATATGACAGTCCCCCAAAACATGGACAGAGCCACAGAAAACTTAACTTAAAGGTGAAAGCACCAGGGAAGACAGAGCAGAGCACTGCTCAGGTCGGCAAGCTACAGGGCCAGAAAGAGCAGGAGCCACAGGACTCAGACTTCATTCTCACACAATTGTATTTCCCTTTACCCCTCCTGGCTAATTACTTTATTTGTTCCAAAGATGATGGTGTTCCTCCACAAACAGCAGTAAAGAATCACCCTAGTGTTCAGAGAGACTATGTTACCAAAAGCATCATCGTGTAATGAAATGCATTTTATACAACCTCAGGCCTTTAAAGATCTCTGTGGCATTTAACTGGTAAATTCTATTTTGCTGATGCACAGTCTCCCCATTTTAAAAACGAAAACATAGTATTCTTTCATACATCATGTCCATTGGTGCACAGTCTTCAATCTAAGAACAGGAAGGTACAGTAGTGAGGATTCATCCCTGAATTTAAATGCACATAACCTACAAAGTATCATGAGATCCTGCAAGAGATGCAGTACGTCCTTGTGAATTTAGTGCTTCTCAGAAGGGTAGACAGGGAGGTGGTAGCAGCACTATTTAATCAAAGATTGGCTGCTGAGGTAAAAGCAGTGCAACTTTCCTTTATATTTTGTCCAGCCCTTGGCTAGTGGAGTCAATATCAGAGCTCATCACCACCTCTGACCAGCATAAAACTAACAAATGGGGTAAAACGTGATAGTTACTACATCTGAGGACTTTGGCCACTGAAATCTTACAAATATGTTTCAAATCATCTTTCCACAACCTAACACTAAACAGCCAAGATCTAGTCATGCGTCTTCCAGATTTTCAGTTGCAATATGGCAAGTTTAATTGTAAGTGACATAAACAGACCTTCATATCCTAGAACTTGTCAAAATGCCACTGAAGACAACAAAACCATTCACAAACATTTAGTGTAGCACTAACAAGACAGAAATCAGCACTACACATCCACATTTTATAGTGGAAACGAAAAGCACATTTGTTTTAAATAACATGCGTGTTATCCACACAGGAGGAAACTAAATCTTTCCTTTTTGAAGCCTGTTTCGTACTTTAAATACAAGTGCTTGACCCTTCAGCCTAAGGGAATTGATGTAACTACATATATATTTTAAAACACTCGGCTTTCCTTCAGCCAAGAACTAACCCAAAGAAATACCAACACACCTGTAGAAATCACTCTCTGGGTCACTGTGCCTCAGCTGAAATGGCATTTTTGGAGTTTTGCTATCCAGAGGAAGCAGGTCATCAGGGAGAGGCGGAGAGGCCGGACAAGACGGCAGAGGTTCGTTGTCTTCAGCTTTTATGCCCTCCGCTTGCTGCTGGTTCTGAGCCTGAGCCATGGCGATGAGGCTGCGCAGCCGCCTGTTGTGCTGGATGAGCTGAATGGTGTGAATGGTGAGGCTGCAGGGCTCCGAGGGGATGTCCAGCATGGTGGTGGGACGGGGTTTGTTTGCGGAGGGCTGGTGCAGTGGAGGATCTTGGACTTCCACGGTACGAAACTCACGCTGAAGCAGGTCAAAGGAGCTGCGGTTGGCCTGGTTAGATGAAACTGGGATCTCGCCCCAATATCGCAGCATTTTTACCAGGTCACTTAACAGAGCCCAGGAGAAGACTACCAAATACTGTGGTACAGAGGAGCCTTGTCGCAGGCGAAAGTGCTAGGCTTTGGGCAGCAACGGGAGCTGGGGTGACACTCTGAATGAAGCAAACTACACCTGCCAAGAAAGCTGTCCCTCAGTGCCTCACTGGGCAGTTTCCACGACGCGCCGGGATGCAACGCTGGCACTCAGCAGTTATACTGCTGCTTCTCCTGAGGGGGGAGGAAAAAGAAACGCACCCGTGACGCGGTAACTACTTATGTTTCTAACATGGGCCGCTGTGAGTCTACCCGCGGCGCGCCCTCACTTGAGCGGAGGAACTCCGGAGGCCGCACTCGGCCGTCCCGCCCTCTTTGCTCCCTCCTTCGTCCCTCCCGGGGCCCGGCTCC